TACAAGTATTGTTTAATTATTTTCATCATATATATACATGTTTTTTTATAAAAAATAAACAATATAACAAATTTATAAAATTATAATATAAAAATTATATTTATAAATAAATAAATAACATATATATGTATAATATATATTTATAAATATATAATATATTGGATCGGATACTCTTGGATCAGATAGGGATGATCCGAATCCGGTTCGACTTCTGATCAGATCATATTATCCAATCCTATTCGAAGATCCAAATTCGACCAAATAGGATCGGATCATGATTTGATCCATTTTCACCCCTATCGGGCCTAGCCCTTAGGGAAGCCCAAATCTAGTTGAACTCAAAAGTATTAAAGTATCGATATCGGATATCTTATCGGATAACGCAAATACGGATACGAATACAAATACGAATACATGCATGCTTTGGAAACACATGGATACAGATGAAAAAGATGTAAACGCATGGATACACTAGGGAAATACATACAAATTTCATAAATATATTAATAACATTAAATTTAAGATCAAAATAATCGCAAAATAGTATACAAATACATAAAAGATGTAAATATTAAGGATATATATGAAGGAATATATTACGATTAATGAACCGAGATGCATAATTTTATTTATAGTATATCAATCAAGAGTCCAAGGCACAAAACATTTGCACCTATTATATTTTAATTATTTTATCAATTATATTTTATTTTACTATTTTAATTTTTTAACATTAAGAAAAAGTCAACTAAATATTAAATTTTCAATTGCAAATTAAAATATCAGTTAATAATTTATAAAAATAAAATCTTAACTTAAAGTATATCAAATTTGTTAAAATTTCTAAGATGCATATCATTTACAAATTCATAGTTTTTAATTACTAAAATAATTATTTCATTATTAATATTTTTATTTATATAAATTTTATGAAATAAAAAATTGTGCTATGAAATAAATGTAGATTAGTGGATTTGATAGATTCTATTTAATATTATATTCTTCAATATTTTGTATATAATATTTTTATTTTTTTGTAAATAATAAATATGTTGTTATTACTTATTAATGTAAATTAAAATATTAGTTAATAACTAATAAAAAAGTATATACAAATTTTAAGATTTATACCATGTGCAAATTTATAAATTTTAAGTATTAAAATAATTATTCTATTATTAATATTCTATTTGTATAAATTTTTTGATATTAAAAATCATCTTTTTTATATAAATGTGGATTTGATACATTATTTATTCTATTAGTTTATAAAATACTATTTTTAAATATTATTTTTTTAATTTTTAGTTAGAGTTGTTAAATATAAATATGTGTTTTTATTTAAATTGCATGTGAACAGAAAATGTTAATAAAATTTATTTTATTTTATTTTATATCATGAAATGAAGATTGGCTTACTGGTTTGGAAACACTTGACGGGATACGCTTGTATTCGTAGCGTATCTCACATCGTTACTAACTGATACTGATACGATACGCCCCATATCAGACGTATTGTATCGATATTTAAATCCTTGCTTTTAATAAAACCCATGCATCGCACGGGTCCCAACTAGTGTGTATATATAAACATATATTTATATGCATATATATATATATATGTATTTATTTTTTAATAAAATATACGCATATGCATACATGCATACATATACATAAGCATTTATATCAATTTTTAGTGTGGACTACTTGACCAATCCGAGCCCAACTGGAATGCATCAAATTTTAGTGCGAATTGGGCTTAGACTGAATAATTCGGGCTTGATCTCATGCTCGGGCTCGGGCTTGATCTCATGCTCAGGCTTTAGGCCAGGATTGGGCCTGGGTTGAGCTAAAACCCGACCCAGCCCACCCAATTTGCATCCAAGGCAACCAACACACAACATCACAGTGCCAAAAAGCGATGAATGATGTGACCTTCCATATTCAGTAATAAATGGCAGTTTTTCTTGCAAAAAAAAGAAAAAACACCACAATGCCAAACATCGTCATAAAACATTGCATGTATGATTCTTGGCCACATCGTTTTTGTCCCTTTTTTTTTTCAAGTTTCAATGCTTATATTTTCACATATACTTTACATATTGTAGGTAGGGGTGGCAATTGGGCATGTTAGGTTGGGTTGGGTTTGGGTTGAGCTTTAACCCAATTCATCTAACTCGTCAACCCATTAATGACCCAGTTATATAAAATTAAATGGATTGGGTTCAAGCCAAACCCGTCTTGACCCAATCCAACCCAGCCAACCCATTAATCTTATATTTATGTGCTTAAAACTAAAAACTAATTCTCTTTGACAAATAAGTTGGTTGTAACTTGGTTGTAATAGTAATTGTTATTTACACAAGTTGTGAAGGTTCAAACCACACTACATGCATATTATTTTTACAAGGAGAATAAAAGGCAATTAATCACTTGAAGCCATTTGATTATGTTTGGGTTTTAGGTTTGACCAAACCACTTAGATTCAAATTAGTCAGACCAACTTAAACTATCTAACTGGGTTTGTCTTCGAGCTAATCACATCAAGAGTGGTTGAACCGTTTAGATTTGGATTGGTCTAGTTAGACCAGATTGGTTCAGCCAAATGGCATATTGACTCAGACTGGTCCATATTGGGTTGTGCATAGGTTCAGGACCGAACCAACTAATCCAAACCGGGCAAGGCAAGCATACCAGACCGGTCCAAAATTTGGGTCGAGTCAAGCAAGCTCGTAAGGGTCCGATTGACCCAAGCGAGCAAAGCAAATTGATTCGGGCGAGTCGATCCCTTCATAACCAATATGAATTTGGGTCGATCAAGTCCATATTGGGTTGGGCTGGTTTGGATTTATGTCGATTTGGGTGAAGTGTGTTGATTCAAGGCAAAACTAATTTCAGTCAATAATTAATAGAAAATTAATGCACAAATTATAGTTATTTAACTCAAATGATGAAAATTTAAAAAAAGGCTAAGGAATTCTTTAGTGGTTAACCAAACAATTATCCACAACCCGACCCACCCATTTAAACTAACCAAATGGGTGATCAACCCATTTCCAACCTGCTAAGTAAATGGGTGGATTAGATACTGGGTGGGTTTAGCAGGTTGGGCGAGAAATTGCCACGCCTAATTATAGGTAGATAAACAAAGTCGCACAAAACACATACACAACCTTGGAGGTGTAAATCGGGTCATGTCGCGGCTTAACACGACTGTATGGGCCGATGGACCATGTTGGGCTTGGGGTTTTAGGTCAGCGGGTCGGGCCGACATGGCCCGCACTGTCGTGCTGTGCTGCTCATGGCCCGCGGGCTAGCACGACCCATATATATATTATATTTGTATATAGTATATAATATATTATATAAATTATAATTATATAATAATATATAGTATATAGTATATTAATAAAATAAACATTTTTTTCAATTTTATTATACTATTTTATTTAATTATTGTATATATAAACAATTGTATACATCAAAATTCATATAAAATTAAAAAATTAAGTTTTTTTTTTCAATATTTTTAAATAAACGACTTTGGCTCAGCCCAACAGCTCAGTATGAGTGCCGTGCCATGCCAGCCCAGCATGGCCCGTTTTACATCTCTAAATTAGAAGATCCAATCCAATGGGTCTAATTATTTCGACCTATGGATCTGTGAATTATGTTCTAGCCTAATAGGGAACCGGAGTTCTTTTCTCATTGTTTTGTATAGAACATGAGTTTTATTTTTATTTTTTATGGATCATGAGTTCATTCAAACCACTGTGTAAAGTGTATATTTCCAAACTGTATGACAATACAAACTTATGCATATGGGGTAATGCAGGAAACTCTGAGACTACGTTAAAGTGAGGAGGGATAAGAGAGTTTTCTCAAGAAAAATCCTTAAACAGGATTTTGGTTATCCTAATTAGAAATGGGTGGATCCACAAAATGATTTTCTTAACTCCAAAAGTTTTGTTATAAATGGTAGTTGTTTTTTCCTTGCAAAACTATATAAAAATGTAAGAAAATTGAGTGGAAAGTGTAAAATAGGTAGATAGGACCTACTATACTCACTGCTTCGTTTTTCTTTTTCCATAAAAAGAAACCTTTTATTTTTTTTTCTTCCCATTGATTCAAATGCCTATAAGAAAATTAAGAATTTCTTTCAAATATTTTTCCCACTTTTATTCTTTTTGGCTTCTAAACGAGAAGTTTTCCTTACAGATAATAATGGGTGATCTCATAGTCATAGGTCTGATGTGGTTAGGGGTGGCAGTTGGCAAATTGCAGATGTGCATTCTTAGTCCACGTGGCAAGATCATGAGTTATGTTTCCTTTTTTATTTTGATAAGTTAAGATTACGAGTCATGTGCATTGTGAAGTTAATCCTTTCTCTTGACTTGCTATCACCTAGAACTGATTGATTTGAAGCTGCAGCCATTTGGATTGGGTATCGTGCATTGGTTACAAGGAAAAAGTGTAAAAAAGAAATGAACTTCAACATTAACATAAGATTTTTGTACCATCATGGCATCATTTGGCCAATTTTGTCATAAGAGGAGGAGAATCTGAGCAATTTTACATTTATTTGGGAGTGCAAGAGCCATTGTCCTCTGCTTTCTACTTCCTGGAGAGTCCAGCATGAGAAGTTTTGGCTCGAGGGACGATATTTCCAGCACTGTCATAAACAATGACACCAGAGAATTCCGGGAGCTGGCACTTCTCGCCCATGAGAATGTTCTTCTTCCAAACACAGAGCTCCCTGCTGACCATGCTACTGTCCCCTGGTTGCACCTGCTGAAGCCTTTTGGTCGTTAGGATTGCTGCATCCGTGTTGAGTTGTATGACGGGATCGTAGGAGTGGCCATAACATCCACGCCAGCGGCGCCAACCCCATGAATGCGAAGCACACATGAACAATGCCAAGGCACAGAGGAAAAGGGCTGCCACACCCAGACTGGTCTGGGTTGTGCTTCCAAGAGACTCAGAGAGGAGGAAGCGTGCCATGGGAGGTCTGGTGGTGGTGGAGATTATGCGTGCTGAATCTGTTTATGTAGCTAAAATTTGCTCCATGGAGTTGTTAGACATTGAGGATTTGTTTAGGGATTAAGGTTTATTTGGATTCCTGTAGTGGTGGTAGAGAGCAGAGAGTTGGTGGTTCTGGTTAACCAGAACCAGTCAAGCAGAAGACCAGAACCTCTTTAGTAATGGAGTTGTGGGACTTGAGCCAATCTGGGTTTCATCTTTCAAGTATTGGTTGGGCTACTGTGTGACAGGTCGCACAAGATCACGATCAGAGATTGTTGATCCAAAAGTCCACTGTCCACCTAAGAATTATACAGAAGAAGGGTAAAAGACCATCCATCCGATTCTGCTGGGCCCAGATGGATGGCTTAGATTATCGTCGAGATGCCGGGAAGGCGGGAACTTGTTCAAGGAATAACTGGTTCGGGTTCTCATGGTCTGTTGTAACTGTTGTTCTTGGAAAGCAGAGGGAAACAATACGCTATAAAGCTTATAATAATTTGCAGTAAAGCAAATAATGGAGCAGCGTTCACTAATCTCTGTCTGTAAGTTGCTCTCCAAATACCCTTTTCGACGATCTCCACGACCCACATATTCGTTTCTCCCCAGATCGTCTGCAGAAATCTTAGAAGGGTGTCTCGGCGACTCAATTCCATTGCCCGAAACGAAGATTTTCAGTTCGCCCGCGTCGAAATTTCACTCTTTTCCACGCTCAATTGCTTTAAACCCATCGACCCAGTTAAGAATCCGTGTAGGTTTAAGGAAATTCAGTGGTGAATCTGCGTCGAGTGCTGATTACAGCAAAGAGGCCGGTGAAATTAATCTCAAGTTTGCAGAAGCTCGGGAAGAGATCGAGATGGCCTTGGAATCGAAGGAGACGGTTTATTTCAACGAAGAGGCGGACAGTGCTAGGGCAGCTGTGAAGGCTGTCCTGGACATGTTCGAGGGTTTAATGGCGAAGTTGCCCGAGAACGAGAAGGGGGCGTTACAGAGATCGATGGGGTTAAAGATTGAGCAATTGAAGGCTGAGTTGGAACAACTGAACGATTGAGGAGGTTCTTCAATTTGGTGCCTGACCCAAACTAGTTTAGGCTCAATTCTTATGGCATTTTCTGTTACTTTGCTTCTGAGAGGAGGAAGAGGGAATTAGTTTTAGGCTTTAGAATGATGGATTTCTTTGGCAATCACTCCATGTTAGAGTGTATCAGATATCATATTAAATTGATGCTTCAGTAATATACAGAATTTTAAACTTCAATAATCTAAATGCTGCTTTAGATGGAATCTGTCTCATTTTTTAACTCTGCTTTGTTTGATTATATGTGCAACGGTTGCCATGTGCGTTACTCAAGTAGTGACTTCGAATGTTCATTGAATGTATTAGACCTCTTTTACCTCCTTCCAATGTCCATTTTTTCATTCCACTACAGTTACTCCATTCTGTTTCGTGTACAAGAGTCGAGAGTTCATCAAAGTCCATTTTCTAGCAATAACATGCTTCTCCCTAAGCATTGATCTTTTTCAATCTAAACCTGCCTGAATGTTGCTCCATGTGCTGGGTAATCACTCATGTTCTAACGATATTTCATTTTTATCTTATTCAAGTAAGCATCAAGCAAATGTTTTTCCCCAATATACTCAATGTTTGTGAAGAACTGGTGCATAAATGTCTCTTTTATATGGGGGGATAATTTCCTTATGGATGTAACCTTGTGGGCAATTTTAGGCAGCTGCAATACTTAATGCATAAGATTCTGGACCAGAATTTATTTTTCCTTTTTCAGATACTTTAAACCTCTTTTCTCAACATGCATTCAGATGTATCAAATTTCATGTCAAATGAGAAGCTGTAGTTTTCCTTATGGATATGCATGTATGTAACATTTTTTTTGAGAGAGAGATGTATGTAACACTTTAACCGGATGCAAAGGTCAACATATAATATCCATGGATTAAGAATCTCTGTTTTGATTGGATCCATGCATTTATCTCCACTAATAAAGTATGTGTTGGTCCTTTTTAACAATTTGTGCTTCATATGAAAACAAAAGCAAAGAAGTAAAAAAAAAAAAAAAAGAATTCTTGCTTCATAATGGAATATCTCCTTTCCTGGTGTACTGGGAACCAAACTTACTACATTTTGTAAGTTTGTATATTTGGATATTGCTAGAAAGCCATAGTTCCTATACTGGTTGTAGTCAAAAAGCAATTATCACTGTAAAAGAAAGTAGAAAGAAAAAGAATCCACAGTGATAGCTTTTCTTACCAGTGTAACATCATTCACCATCTTCGGTTTTGTAAAGTGCATTATTGTAATTATATTTTGTTGTGTTGGTGCCTTGAATTCCATTCCATGACTTACCCCCATTCAAGTTGAGAAAAACCTGAAGGAAAAATTTCATAGTGGTCTGTGGTGGAAGTGGAGGGTCTGTAGCCCACCACTGACCACCACCAAGGGTGCGGGGGCTCCACCCCTGTGGTATGGACCCATCCTACTGTGCTGTTTCCAGGAAGCTATCTTGTATCTTGAACGCTAAGGAAAAGAGGGTACAAGAATGTGTGAGAGATTTGAAAGAGGGTCTATTTGGGTGCATTGGGAGCTAGGGTTTGGTGCGGGAGGCTGTATACACTATACACTGTGACTGTAACTCTTACTATTTCTATAGTGGATTTCTTCTCCTCTGACACCTGTGGACATAGGTAATAAGCTGAACCACATAAATCTCTGTGCATTCTTGAGTTGCTCTGTTTTGCATTTTATTCCTTTTGTTTTTCTCCATTTTCCAATCAATTTCAGGTCTTGGATTTTTTTCTTCTGCAACAGATTTGGACATTGCATTTGAATAAATCTTCTGTTTTTCTGGAAATGGCACTTGTTTCTTCATCATAACAGGTGTATGTCATTGAGAAACCCATTTTCACGCCTTGTATCTAGGTCATGTGCTGACAAAGCTGTCCATGTCATTGTTGCATGGGAAGACAAATCCTTATATGCAAATTATGAAACTACCTTGAGCATATTAAACTTGAAATTGTGAAAAGAAAATTAGAAAACACACATCATTCTGTTCTGAGGACTGATGAGTGAGGTCTCATACGGTGAAACTTCTGTTGACTGTGAAATTAATTACTGCAAATTTCAACCATGGACTTAACAAGCCTTGTTAAAGTGACCTACATGGGGGCTTGCCATAGCATGTTATATTTAGGAGTTTAGAAAAAGGGTAATCTATTTTTGAAGCTAATAGAATCTCAATTTCACTTAGTGCCTGAGTACTGCATCTGCCAAATATTCCAGTCTAAATTCTAATTTTTTGGTTTTTGTATCAATTACACTGAAGTGGTATTCTAATATGTCAATTAGAAAGTAATGCATGGATTTAACACTCTCCAGGATTAGGGTCAAGTCTTGCACCTTAATGGACAGAGTCTTAGCAAATGAGTTGCTTGATTGGATGTTCTTTACCTGTAAGCAAGTTTAAGGAGATAAAAATCCTTGGTGGTATTTTACTGTTTTATGTTAAAGTAGCAAGTTTGAACATGCATTGCATGTGTGAAAGAGAAAATGAGAATTAGGTCTGACATTCCATTTAATTAATTCAATGTTTTCAATTAGTTATAGGTTTCCTAAGAAGGTGTGAAAGATAAAATGAGAACTAGGTCTACCTCAGGAATCCAGGAGATTCAGGTATCAGGAGTGTAATTAGCGACCATAATGGACAGATACCGCTTAGTTTTCTGGTTAAACTTGATGACTATGCAGAGAATGAAAGAAATGACAATGGAAGGAGACTGTCGAACTGTAGTTTGTTGGACGCATGCAACAAGCACAAGCTATGGCCACCAATTTGAATTGCTCATTCAACTGGGTGCCTAGGTGTGCCAATGATTTAGCAGACTCATTTGCAAGGGCAGGGCTGGAAGAAACCAACTAGAATGGGATGTCCAGGGCCAGGATTCAATCTGTAAAAATCTTATATGAGCTGTACTGTTGTTAGCTGGTTTGTAATTTGTGTTCCAAGCCTCGGAGTGAACCTTGTACTATTTATCCAGCTGCTTTTTTTGAGAATGCTGGGCTTTTTAACGAATTTAATGTTGACTATAAAAAAAGGAAAAGAAAAAGAGAACTAGGTCTAACATCCCATTTAACTAATTCAATGTTTTCAATTAGTTATAGGCTGCCTAAGAAGGTATAGCCTTATCTTGAGCTTGCTGGTGTATGAAACGGTTTACAGTTGCATTATTGTCTCCAATAGGAACCAGGGTTCTGGATAGGGCTGCAAATGGATCTTATCGAATTGGATATGTCTAGATCCAAATTTGGTTTGTGAATATTCAAATTCCAATTGAAGTTTATCCATCAGATTTTGATTGGACTTGGAATAATTTGGATATTGAATGCCATTAATACATTAAATTAAAATAATCAGAATATTATATGTTATTAATAAAATGTCAAAAATGAATGTGATATTGTATATCATGAATAAAATGACAACAAATTTTATGCGATTTGAACCTAACTTTGGTAAACATAAAACATTTAAACCAACTTTAGTAATAGGTACTTCAATAAATATTAGTTTTATGCACATGTAAGAATAAATATAAATATTTAACTATTATTGAATTGACTCATATTACATTATTGGATTGGGGTAGATTCATAGTTGATCTAATTATAAATAAATTGAATTTGGATTGCCTTAGTGAGAACAGATTTGGACAAATGGAAACAGAGACCATTTGCTTTCCTAGTCACTGATCCACATTCCACTGCTAGAGGCCCTAGCTGTCATGGTATTCAAAGAGTTGGAGTCCACCACTATTGTTGACCTTTCTCAGATTTTCAATTAATATGTAGTTTTCCTTTTTCTTTGATAAGCTATGTAGTTTTCCTATTTTATTTGATAGGTTAATTGTGATTGAACTCCATCCACAGGTAAATCATGTTGAAGTATTGATAAATGCAATTAGTTGGATCTGAGTCCACCAGTTTCTCTTTATGAGTTTCTATAGGTTTTTCCTGCAATCTTGCATTGGAAGTCAATGCATTGTCATTTTCTCCTAGTTTCCCTCAAGCCTTTTGAAAAGAAAGAAAAACCAGAAATGCAGAAAAGTAATCCTTACTAAGAAATAGTGGTCTTATTCCTTTTTTCATATTTTTAGACATTGCTAGCTTTTTTTCCCCCTATAAGCTGGAGGTTTAAGAGTAATGAAATAAATTTGGGAGGGGGGCACTGAACTTGGCAAATATAGTTTCTTTCTACTACCCCCATCCGCCCTTTTTTGAACATATAACATCTTACAGGTTTTGAAAAAGAGCTAACCATCAATAGGTTTCATTTTGTTTTATTTATGTTTTGTATCTTCACCTTTTTTGTATTTTCATACATGTAGCTTCCAATCTACTCTTCCCAAGACCCAAGATAGCTGGGACCAACATTGGGTAATTCCCACTCTCAACCCATGAACAATATGAGCCCGAAGCTTCCTTCGTAACTCCTGGAAATTCTTCAGTGGCTCCGTTCATTGCCTCATTCATAGGGAACCTCAAAGTGGCTCTATCTCATTATATTCCATCCATATCCCAATTCCATTCATTTAATATTCCTTTGGTGTCATTGGCATAAGAAATGTCGTTTCTAGTCTATCTCTTTCTATTTCTATATATGGAAGTGGCCTTTAATATGTTTAACTTCCATTTCAACTTAAGACATTTGATGTGCAGAGATTTCTTACCAACTTTTATATAAAAGAGTTGGTGTTTGGCTTATCAGTCTGCTGCATATTTAGGAATCTAGAGATTTCTAAACTACATCAAGGATTGGAAAAAAAATGAAGTAACTCTAACAATAAAAGAAGAAAAAAAGAATAGAATTATCTACTTTCCTTCCCTTTATAAAGATTATCTGATCCAGAGGCAGAAATAAATAACTCCATAAGATAGGCTTTTGAAGAAGAAATGGGGCTTAAGTTTTGATCTCAAGTTCAAAACCCATATAGAAAGTTAAGGTATAAGATTCAATGCAACTGAGATTGAATAGCCTTCTATGACAAGCTACAGTAGAAGAAAGGCAGGTGAGCCATTGAAATAAGGTTCAAATTTGTTATAAAATAGTAGGCTGATAGGTCCCAGTCAAAGCTAGAGAGAGATGGAGTATTCTGCTTAGGGCGAGAATAGACCACAAGAGGTTTATTAACTTTCAACTGCCCCATCCATGTGGTGGGGTGGTGTTTAAATACAAAAACTTCTAACTTCCTACCACTAACATAGCCACTAA